ACACACACACACACACACACACACACACACACACACACACACACACACACACACACTCCACAGAAGCCGCACTGAGTGTGTAAGACAAATATATACACAGGAAGTGCCTCCCACTCCTTTGCCCCTAGTCACTTGCTCTCTTTCTCTCTCTCTCTGAATGTTTCTGATGGCAGTGTGTTGCTGAGCAGCAGCCAGTCGTGTTTTTCCCCTCACTGAGCTCACTCTCTCTCTCATCCTCTGCTCCGGCTCTCAAACGCTCTGTTGCTCAGTGAACAGACTAGACCTCTCCACTTCTTCTTCTCTTCTGCTACCCCTTAACTCTGCTCTATCCTCTTCTTTTATCTGTTTCTTCCTCACATTTCTTCTTCATCCCTGCCTGCCCCCCTGCCCACTAGCACTACCACCTTGGTGCCAGGGGCATTAGTGGGGGTCCCGGCGTGTCTTTTTGACTGTGTGTGTGTGTGTGCGTGTGTGTTTATGTGAGAGTGTGCCGGTACTGTTTTCAGCATGGAAGCGGTGGCATTGTACACGTTTCGTGCCACAGAGGGTGATGAGCTCAGTTTCAACAAGGGAGACTTGCTCAAGGTAAGAAAAAGAATTTTTCATCTTTGTCTGTCTGAAGAGTAAAACTGGCACAGCGCCTCTGTCTTCTCTCTCGCTCCGTCTGCCTACACTGTGATAATTACAGCAATTAAAACTTTACTGTCAGAAGCCACTGAAATTATATTTCAAGTGCTTCAGGTGCTTCCTAAAGAAAGAATAGTCTAAAGAAAGATAAAGTATTAGAAGTGGCTTAAACCTATTTTGGATGATAGCACTCACCTGTATGTGTGGTAATGTGCTAGACAGCAGTGAGTTAGCTTAGCTTACCATAAAGGCAGGAAACAGTTTGAAGTAGCTAGCCTGGTTCTTAAAAAGAGCAAAGAGTTACTTATTTTTTATATTTAATTTGCTAATCTTTACACAAAAGTGTCAAAACAATCATGTAGAGTATGCTAGAGGACTCTTTTGGCTTGAACCAGTGGTTTCCTGGAGCGTCTGCTGACTACAGGGCAAATAGTCCTTAGCTTGTAGAAGTGCCAAATCTGTACTTCCTCAGTGGCCACCAATAAAGTCACTCCCTATCGTGTTTAATATTGAAAAGGCTTACTTAACAGCAGAAAGATAAAACATTTTTTTTATGTCTATGAAGCTAAACACATTTTTGATAACTGTGCAAATTTTCCTTAAGGACTAAAGAAAGTGGTTTGGCCACTTTGAGAGCTGGACACTAAAATGCTGTAGCATGTATAAAGTTACAGAACTAGACCTCACAACAGTGTTCTTTCTGCTGTTAGCTAATTATACGGACTATTTATTATGCAAACAGCCCATTTAAGAAGTTTGTGTTTCAGTTTTGTGAGTGAAATATAGATTTTTAGTTATATTTTTATTAGTACAAAGGCACCTATGCTATCTGTGTACTGTACAGTCATGTTTGCTAACATTAGCTCAGAACTTAGCACTCCAGTGTCTCAACAAATGATAGTTTTTGCAAATACCACAAAAAAGCAACATGGCAACAGACAAAATGCTTTAAAATGTAGCTTTAAAAACGAATGAGTGGTAGCACAGGTGGCTTTGTAGTCTAAATCTTCACATATTAAAATGGGAAGTTGTCATTTTCACATGGCTACATGGCTAACAGGTTACCACTATTTTAAACCTTTTTTCCAAGCTAAGCTAACGTCACAGGCTACAACTTAATATTTACAGTATAAAATGGGAATGCTGAATCTTCTTATCATTTTACAGAAAGTAAATAGGCATATTCGATTCTACTCCTCTAATTTAATTTTGCTCCAGGTTGCCTAACAATCTTTTTTTTAATCTACAGCTTTTTATTTGTGTCAAACACCATGCTGAAATAGTTCCGGCACAGCTGGAAATTAGTGTAGTAGAAAATCGTCCCTCTAAGACATCAACAGCAAACCTCAGAATTAAAGAGCCAAGTGCTTCTTTCTAACACTGGTGCTTTGGCACCATCTGTTTGACACTCAGACGCAGGCAAATCAAGCAAGATGGAAGACACAGTGAGATCAATTTGTCTTCTGGATTTTGTCTCAGTTAACCAGTGGGCGTCGGTGCTGCAGGTCCAACTTTTCTCACTAGTTAAAACCTTTATTTTTTCCTTTCACTGGAATATTTCTCTGCTAATTTGAGGCTTTTCTTTGAGGGTGAATTTACCTTTTGTTGCTTGAAGATAGTTGGTGTACTATTCTTCCCATACGGACTTCATTCCAGCACTAAACATGAATAAAAAAGACCTCTTATTCCTGCTGTCTTTAAAGTCATTTGTTAGAAGTCGAGTGTCACAGCATGTTACAGCTAAGATGCAATGGCATTTAGTTTCGACACTAAGACAGATAGTTACAGCAGTCTTTGATGCGTACTTGTGTTGTCTGGCCATAGTGATAATTTACAGTAGCTAAAACAGCACCATCACTTAAACCACAGTTAAGTTTGTTTCTTTACTCGTGCAGGGCTAAGCGACTGTCTTGTCTTTGCCAAAAAGCTTTGGTTCACACTCGGGTCAAGCAGTACTTTTAAATAATTCTCCACATTTGTTCGTTTCTGCATGATGCGCCAGATGGCCTGAGCTTTACAACATCAAGAGAATTTGTGCGGAAAAAGAAAAAAGAAACTGTATAATTTAGTTACAAAAATGCCAACGAGATAGTTGCTTTCCTCACAGCTGCTCACTGGTGCTCATTTATTGCCCTTATGCTGCTTTAAAGCCTACTTCTGCTTCTTTTCACACCTTGTTGCCAATGCGAACGCATTGTGCGTTTTCCATGTGGAACTGGATCGATCGAGCTGAGCAGAGTGTTGACTCATAAAGAAGTTATAAAAATAGCTTCATAGAAGAATTTGTAAAAAAAAAAAGAAGTGGCTCTGGCATTATGTGTAAAGCTGGGAGACCGTGCTGCCAAGTTTAACACGAGGGACACAAAAGCCGAGCTTTAGTTCTCCAGATACCGTCACAAAAAATGTAACAACTCCGGCTGGAAATGAAAACCTCCAAAGCACCCAGAGAGTACGCACTACATTCTAATCACAAAATGAAATAACTTCATTTCTTTAGAAAATAGTTAACTATCCTTGGAAATAAAAATATTGCTGTATTTATTTGCTTCCTTTATCCAACAGTTTCGTGTATTTGACCACAGCAGTCAGGTGCGGTCAACCATACCTGACCTGTTTTTAAGCCTCATTAAGAGCTTTGTGTGTGGTCTTTTCAGTCTACTGCCATGTCAGATGTTCACGTTGTCGGATTTTGTTTGTTTAATGCTCTTTTGTTAAGGGTTAATTATGTAATGAGTAAACTCTCTGGAGTGGTCTGGAAGGAGCTGTTAGTCACAGCTGAATTAACAGGGTCTAGCTAGATAATCAGCTATTATTGGTTATATACGATCTCTCTCTACATATATATATGATAAACACTGTACATCATCGGTCCCCAACCTTTTTTGCGCCATGGACCAGTTTAATGCCATTAACTGGTATAATCTTCAAGATGGCGCCGAGTATGGCAGCCTCGTCACGAGCTCCCCCAAGCAATGCACAACTCTGTTGCTTGTGAAGCTCGCACACAAGAATTTCACTCACATGTACTGTACCAATGTAGCTGCACATGTGATGTGACAATAAAAGTGATTTGATTTGATTAATGTCAGACAATACTTTCACCGACCGGCCTTTAAGGTGTCGCGGATAAATACAACAAAATAAAAGGATACAGACAAAGACAAAAACTGTGGTATTTTGTAAATATAATAATAAACGCAAATTCACTGTGTAATTGTATAAGCGTCCAACTGAAATGCGCCAACAATATTGAGAGTAACCTCCTCCTCTCTGCCCCTTAATCCTGTCCGATTGCTATGGTAACACGTAAATATTTCTTTCAAAATAAGACACACAACTACAGCACGGAAAAAGACCGAGTTAACAATAAAAACCCTGAAAACCATAAATTTCACACCCGAGCCTAATGTCTCGCTGCCCGGTACCAAACGACCCCCCGGGTACGGGCCATGGTACCAGTACGGGCCATGGTACCGGTCCATGGCCCGGGGGTTGGAGACCGCTGCTGTACACGGTCAACATTCAGTACAATTGTTTACTTACTTAGTAGCTACTAGTGGTGCGTGATAATGCAAATTTTGGTATGCATGTGATACCAAGTAAAAACAGGGCCAGAGTTACTAATACTACTACTGATACTTTTGATTAGTAAAGGCAGCCTTTATGACTTATGAGCTGAACCAAATAACTTACTTTTACTTTCCACAGTCATTAGTTAACCCAACAAAGCACACATTGCAGCATTTCATGTAATTTGAAAGTGGGGTTGTTTGGAGAGCTGGGATGTAGATACGCTCGTCTTTTTGTGTCAGCTTCTGTTTAAATGTGCTACAGGCTATAAATAAAATAGGCATGAAAGTCAGCTCGCAAAGGCTCAGACATTTTTCATGGTGCGTGTTTGAGGTGTGTATTTTCCTTTCCAAAACACAACAACAACAATATGGGCTGCACGTTGAACTTTACTATATTAATACTGTTGATATTTGTATTGATGCTCTAGTACTTACTGGCATTGTTGCATTATTAATAAAATTAAAGTAGCGATCTATGAAATAGAAATAAGGAAAAGTTCTTAAACTGCCAGTGTTACCCCTTAAGAGGCTTTATGAACACAATACATATGACAAAAAAAAAAAGATTTGATTTCTCCACAGAACTCCTGTAGTTACTCGTTATTATGATGTACAAGCAGGAAAAATTAAATTAACAGGTGAAGCTGTACAGGAAGTGGAAACTTTTTGATTGAAATTGTGGTGGGGGGGAAGTTAGTCTCTGAGTCAGACTGATGCAGAAATGGCTCACTGGGTTTCATGAGAAACAGTCCAGCGTGTTGTTTTAAACTGTGGGAAATATAGGAAGAGGTTGTTTAGGAGGGACACCGAAACCTCCAGCCTCTTGAAAGGGCAAGCTTTCAGCTCGATGAATGACTGACGTTATGAGCAGTAAATCATTTCGTAGCCTGCGACGCATTTACAGTGCACGTACAAATGTGCACTGTAGCCATTACAAGCAGCTGATGCATGAAATGAAGTTTCTAAATGCAGAGAGGGGACAGGGCAACTTTTTTTTATTTATTTATTTTCTGGCAGATGGGCATTACTGCCCAAGGTGTTCTTCATCACAGTGGCCTTCAAGTCCTTGCTGGCAGGATGTCGCGTGAAACTTGAGGTGAGGGAGGATGTTTTAACTACAGTACATGACACGTGGTACTTTGCTGGGTACAGCTGCTGATCAAACACAGAGGCAACGTGACGAAAGCCCAAAAAGTGATAAACCCAAGCTGTAAGGGAGATAAGGAAGAAATGTGGCAGTGCGAGGCAGGCGGTGCAAAATAAAAATCATCTTAAAATATCAAAATGACAAGCCATGTCACAGCTGGGTTAGGAGACTGAATGTAAAAAAGATTTTGAAAAAGAGCATGAACAGAGATGAAGCAATGAAAGGAGACGGGATATAACAGATAAGGTTTAAAGCAGGAACATATCAGGAGTCAAAATAACAGACTGTCCTTTATTACCATCATCATGATGGAGCCCTGGCCCTATTTATTACCTACTGTAGCCAGCAGAAATAAGACATGTTTGCAAGAGCTTTTAAATGACTATCATTGTTATCATTTGTGCTTGAATTTCTTTTCATTTTACTTTGCACACCCCACTGTCAGATTACACATCCTGCGAATGATAATGACGCCAGCTAATGTGAACTTGATAGCAGGCTCTGGTGTGACATTTCAGACTTTCTTAAGGCAAGCGACTAACTATAGTAACTATAGTCTTTAAAAAGTCAACTGAAATATTTTCAGTTATGGCTTATTTTCAAGCTATAAAAAAACAAGGGTTCAATTTATTTTATTTATGTAATTAATTTCTTTTTACTTACACCAAAGCGGTGTAATTTTGATTATTAACTCTTTGCCCCTTAAAAAGCTTCTAGAAGCTCTTTTCTGAGCCCAGTGGTTTCTGTTCTTCTGCGTTGATACATACTGAGATCAAAATTTGTCACTAAATGTAAAGAGGAGAAAAAACGTCAAAGTACTGATATATAAATGTAATCTTCTCTTGCAAAAAAGCTCATTCCAAGTGTATCACTTGCACAGGATTTTTCTTTTGGCGTTTCCTGTATTTTTGGTGAGATGTCTGTGTTTATGGAAAAAGGCTGGTGTCGGTGGGGCCTTTAGGAGTACGAAGAACTGTCTAGAGATAGCGCTGGGTGTTTTGGCTCTGTAACGGGCGAGGGCAGCCTGGCTGCTTGTTGTGACAAGCTGTGTTTCCGTATCTATAGAGTACACGCAGGAGCAGGTAGATGAAACTCAGTGTGAGATTACAACTTCAGATTGTAATGACAACGCCTGCTGAGACGCGCTCATCTTTACTCGTCGATATCATGTGAAATTCCACAGTAAATATATATATATTTCATATTATTCCTCTGGACCGCCTGGAGAATCTGCGCAAGGTAAAACCTGGTGTCGTCATGATTTCCATTACACTACCCACTTTGCTCATGGTGTTACAGCTCTGCTATAAAACACAACCTGATCAACTGACCTGTAAGTGTAATAGAAACAAACAAATCACTCAACATTATAGCGCATGCATTATATTTTACCCATAATTAGTGTAAACACAGAACCTCCCTTACACACATGTTTTGTACTCCATAATGCAGAATATAGCACTGAATAGACTGTAGTTATTCTGACATTATACTATAGGGATGAAAATGTGACAGAAAATCTGAATTAATAAGAAAAAAGGTTTTTTTTAAGAAGAATTAAGTTTACAGTATTTATTCTTTTTAATTACTTTGATCTTTTGGGCTTTACTGATGGAAAAAGACACCTATTATGGGGTGTTAGGAATACATTACATATTAAAGTGTGATAAAGGGCAGTAAAGGGCAACAAACAATTGGAAAATACCATCAAACTTCATTTTTATCTCCGCTACACATCTGTGATGTATGGTGGTTTCTGCATTCGGCATGATGACCCGCGCAGACCGACTGACTCACGTCAGCTAACGCAAGGAAGATCAATTTTGAAGAAATATGTGGATTAGCCAGCCATGGTGAAATCACGAAAGGCTTCATGTGGCATGTAAAACTCGCCCAGTAATCTTTTCAAACTTGTGCGAGTTGACGGTTGCGGATAGTAGAAGCAGAGAGGCCTGTGAGGAGGCTGATAAAACAGTGTGAGGACAAAATCCAGCACCAACATCATTATGGGCAGCTTTTCATCTCACTCTGTGTTTTTGTGTGCGCTTGCTCTTAGATCACCAACATGGAGGATGATCCTAACTGGTACACGGCCGAACTCCACAACCGAAAAGGGTTCGTGCCGAAAAACTACATCAACCTGCGTCCACACGCGTAAGTATGCGCACACTCAGGCCCACATGTGCATCTTTAGCTCATCTGTATAAAGCGTTTCACACATCTACCTACCACCGGTCCATTTAAACATCTCATCAGCGAGGATGTGAGCAGTTTGCTGCCCCGGGCATTTTCTGCTCTGCTTTGGACATCTGCACTCTGGCATAAGGCGGCCTACCCAAAGGGACACACTCATTCGCTAACTTATGTAATCACACATGATACAGCCCTGTGTGTGTGTGTGTGTGTGTGTGTGTGTGTGTGTGTGTGTGTGTGTGTGTGTGTGTGTGTGTGTGTGTTTACAGTGAAGCTGCTGGTACACCCTGTATCTCCATCAGATGGTCATGCACCAGCTGGTTTGCTGTGACAAACTCTAAACTGACAACACAGACGTTACAGCAGCTCTGGCTCATTAATGAACCCTGATGTACAGCCCAGTTGGAATTGCCTAGTTAAGTCTGTGGACACCCCTGGGAGTGTAGGATACGTGTGTGTATATATGTGTGTCTTTTTTCCTCCAAATTTCTTTGCGTGGCTTTGATTTTTTTTTTTTTAAATCCCTGAAATCTGACTGCATGAAGTTAGCCACGAGGGTCCTAGAGTTTCTCCACCATATTGGATAGATGCTCACTCTTCACGAGTCATCAAACTGACTGCGCTCAGAGCCTCCAAGCAAAGCGCACTACTAAGCAAGTGCAAAAAAAAGAAAGGAGAAAAGAAATGAATAATGACACCTTTACTTCCGCACCACTGCTGACAACTGAATTGCTGGATTTGTTTCATGTGCAAACTTAGCAGCGTGTGGAAAATTCACTTCTTTCATTCTCTCTCTCAGCTCTTTGATCCGTGCTTTTGTGAGCTGCTCTCCTCTCAGTTTCTTTCAGAGTTAGCAGATATCCACAAACTTCTTTTCTTAAATTTGAGTGTGTGTGTGTAAACGTCTGGAGGAGATGCTCAGATCAGGAGAGTTCACCTGCATAAAGCGGTAACACCGGTGACCCCTTCCTTTCTTTGTTTGCTCACTTGCTTTCTTTTGTCTGTTTTTGTTTTTGCTTGACTGGCCTGCAGCTGGTTCGCCGGTCGCATATCTCGCGGCGTGGCAGAAAGTCGACTCAGAAACAGAGAGTGCGGCGCCTTCCTGGTCAGAGAGAGCGAGAGTGCTCCTGGGGAGTTTTCCATGTCTGTCAGGTAGGAGAAAATTACTAAAGATTTGCACTATATTCTGCACAGTTGCTTTACTGTCGTGCTCCTCGCAGTGGGATTTCATACACCTCTCTGATCTCATATGTATTTCTTCATATTACCCTGCGTAACTTCTCATTACTGCAGCTGCAGAGTTGCTCCACAGCCATCACTGAAGTTTCATTGCATCTCATCTAATGCCACAGAATTGAATTAGCAGACCTATAAGCACACACCTCTAAAAACGCTACATTATTTCCCTGTATCTCTTCATTAATGTATTTTGGATGCGCGCAGGCGAGCGTGCGCATGCTCGATATATTTGTCATGGTGGCTGGGGATTAGAGAAGCAGGCAGAGAAGGAGGGTTAGAGGATAAGGTATGGGGTGGAGGCTAAGAGGGGTGAGGGGGGGATCTGCGGGCCCTCTGGCCTGATGTGAGTTAATCCTGTCTAGCACACCACGGCATCTGGAGCTGCTGATGGGGCTGATGGGTTGTCTTGTCAGTACGTGGCGCTGAAGGGTGCAGCTGAGACTTGGTGTTGTGCCTTGAGGGGCTGTGTGGATATTGGAGTGTGGGAGGTCTGGAGTCTGAGTTTTGGTGCTGATAAAGGCCAGACCTGGAATGGAGGTTTGGCCCTTCACTGTGCTCCTACTTAACTCAAGACAGGGGTTAAGAATTAGATCTGGGGATTGTTTTGTGTTTGGCTGTTAAATCGCCTGGGCACAATGTCACTCTCAGTGGATTTGTCTTAGGATAGTCCTGTGGAAGGGAAAGGAAAAAATTAGGTTGCCTGTGTTTAAAAAAAAAAAAAAAAGCTAAAATACAAAATTAGACACAAGGGATGGAAGAGAAGCGATACGCTGCGAGTAAAATAGATTTGCCAAGAGGGGACAGAGCGGAATCTGATGCTTCTTGTTTTTTTTGTTTGTTTTTTTGGCTGTTTATTGATGCCTTTCTGGCTGTTGTTGCTGGATGGTGTAGCAGCTTGAAAAGTGGGTCAGGTGTTTGTGTGAGTTTGCCAGTGTGCGTGTGTGGTTCTTGTGTGCCGACACCGCTCCTGTCAGAGGAGACAGGACATCAGTAACTGCAGAGACTTCAGTCTCAGCTCAGCTCGGTCCGGCTTTGACGTCAGTCTGTGAAAAATCCGATCCACTTTCACAGCCATGAATGAATCCTAGAAGAGACGTCGTGGCTCTTTTTGTCATAAAGAAAAATTCTGGTGGAGACAGAAATCCTCCAAGTGTGATGTACGATAAAATTGGCTAATTAGCAACTTTGTTTTAGGAAGGCAGGGTTGGCAGATCTAAATCTAACTTTAAAACCACTTTAGTCCATTATGAAAATAGTTAAAGTCACATGTAAAGATGTGAATATAAATATTTCCACCGCGTTGATCTCTTTGAAATATTGGTCTTGTGGTAAGTAATTCTAACATAAATATATGTGGGTGACCTACTAAAGGAAAAAACAACATAAAGTGGTTAGTTCTTTATCCTCTAATTTGTTGGTCATCTACATCTGTCCCTGTTGTACTTGCTAAATGCAAACAATGTTACTATCTTTGTTCTTGTTTCCGCAAAAAACTCAAACAACAAAACATGCATTGCTTTGTTATCAAATATTGCAGTCATTAGACTGCAATATTTGTCATTATATAATTATATAATTAGTCATTATATCGCAAACAACAATGTACAATATCTAAAAATGGGATTTATATAGCATCAAATCACAACAATAGTTGCCTCAAAAAGCTTTATATTATAAGGTAAACACCTCACAATAATAGAGAGAAAAGCCCAACAATCAAATGGCCCCCTATGAACAAGCACTTGGAGACAGTGGGGAGGAAAAACTCCTTTTTAAAATGAAGAAAAGTCTATATTTAAAAGTACAGAGGTTGACTGTCTCCCAACTCCAAACTAGTAGCTGGCACCACAGAAAAGGGGTCTGAAAGCTGAAGGCTAATGTCTCCCCACTTTTAAATATCCTAGGAACCATAAGAAAGCCTCTGATAGTGCCTTATTGGGGTATTATGGTACTATGAGGTCTTTAAGTTAAGATGGGGCCTGAATATTCAAGGCCTTGTATGTGAGGAGGATTTTTAAATCGATGAAAAATCCTGACATTTTCATTAAGCAAATATCCTGTGCGAATGACCAACAGATCTGAGTCAGAAGTGAGCCACAGTTATACCCATGTCAACCTACAGTAAACCAAACACATAAACCAAAACTGGATCAGAGTTAATCTGAACTGTCGGGGGAAAAAAAGTCTAATCTCAATCTTAAAATATAGTAAGGATTCTGACATGAAGGGCTTCCGTAAAAGCAAGATGTAAGCAAATATAAAAAAAACAACATTAAAAGAATGTGCTGGTAGTCTGGTACAGCTAGAGAACTAAAATGGCGCTTAATATAAGATGCCAAGGGAATGAAACTGTGCACAAAAGTGTAAAATAGCCACAAATGTGGAACACAAACATCTGCGGAGGGGAATAAAGAACTGATGTGATCTCAACGTCCTGTTCGCTATAGTTCTTCACCATAAAATCAGTCTTAAAAGCGGTTTTGTGGCCTAAAATAAGTAATTTAATGACTCCAGCCATAATGCAAGGGACCTTTTTTAAAACAGTAATTGCTTCAAAATTTCTTTGAACATGCAAAATATGTGGCAGAAGACTGTAGTTTCAGACTACGCCAGCAAAACTATCCCAGTGGGTTATTTAGTAGCTTATTTTTGGAATATAAAGTGATGCCAAGATAGACTTTAGACACAGAGAGACAGAGACCAAGAAGAGAAATCTATTTTGCCATGCCGGGTGGTTTTACAGTTCTCTTTGACTCAGCAGCAGATGCACCCAAAGGATATATTTGGTCTTCTCCTGCAGCGCTACAGTGGCACAACTTAGATCTAATACTTTCAGCGATACCTAATCCAGTTCTATTGTTTGGGTACTTTTTAGATACTTGCAGAGAGACAACATCAATTTTCTCACTGTCTGGTGTTAAATCTCACTTCCTTTTTCAGGCTTTTCAACAGCTGCTATAACTGCAAGTCCTTGCGGCCGACTCCCAAACTCCCTCAAAGTAAAAAAAAGTGTGCGCAGTCACCAAAAGACACTTCAGGAAATTAGTAACTGAAGCAAAAAATTTGATCGAGTGCCTTAGCAAAAGTAGCTACACCTGTCTTGAAGGTGCAGTTCACTTGAAATTTATTAGACAGGCAGGAGTAGCATTGTGGTTGTGGTTATCAAGGTTTTGTTTCACATGTTTCCCACATCCAAAGAGTCAACATCACTTCCTTCCTTTTTCTTTTGAAAAGACCTAAATCTGTTCCATTAGATATTTTCTTCCTGCTTGACCCATTGTTTGTTTAGACTATAGTCTGGTGTTGCACGCAGACACACACGTGCACAAAGACACGTACACAGTCGGTTTTCCTGTTGCATCTGTCCCGTATCACCTGGAGGTCATACAAACACCATTTCTTTGATGTAACAGTCTGATAGAAGCTCACCAACAACTTGTCTGGCCTTATGTCTTCTTGACCAGTGAGTCCACATTCTCAGCCTCAGAACGCCCACCCACCCCACCCAGAAGATGACTCATAGTCTCAAGATAATGATTTGTCAATCGCATTGTGCTCTGAACAGTAAGGACTAAGGTCTGTTGCATGTCTTGCCAAAAGCAATCACCACCCTGAAAAAGGGTTGGCTATCTGATTTCACTCTTTGATTTGTGGGCTCGGATGTTTTTGAAGCCTTGAGTTTATGTCCTTGTTTTAAGGACATCAAAAAACAAGAAATTTTGAGTTAGTAAGTTGAAAGTTTCAGTTAGCTCTGGTATTCAGAAAGGGCCCTGATGGACCTCATTTCCACTTGAATGCCTTCTAGCGAATGATAATTCATAAAAGGTGTTCATGTGGAATTGTTGGACAGCTGACGTCTTCTGCAATCTACCTCCAGGTGACAAGGTAATGGCATAACTTCACAGAGCCCCTGATTGTCAGATCCAGCTTGACAATTTAGGTATTTGCTCAAAATTTTGACTTATTAACTCGAAGCTTGAATTATGATGGCTTTTTTTCACAGTTTTCAGCTAACTTTGCTAGTTTCTCTAGCTTGACTCATCAAAGAGTACATAGAAACAGATGCCTGTGAATTAGTACCGACATGTAAATAATATAGTAAAATTCGGGTTTACTTAAAAACAAAATCTGCTTCAAGAAAGTTTAAAAAGCATAGGTTAAATTAAAATGCAGTGCTTCTGTAAAGTTGCTCATTTTTAACATGGACATCTATAGTGATTAACTCGCCTTCCATGGAGACTGTAAATACTATTAACGGTAGATGAAAATTATATAGACAGGGCCACTAGGCAATTTGCCCACTGCGCTACCATTTCAGTGTGGATGCTGTTGTTTTTGACACGGCCTCACGTATCACTGACTCACGCTACACTGACTGATGGCTCATACAGTAAGCGCTGATTTTGGCTGTTCATTCGGCTTCCTAGTCATCATTTATCATCAGCCTCTATTCAGGGACATTTCTACAAAGGGAAACCATTAAAGGTAACTGACCCTGTGGGTGATGCTTATTTTACAGCTACATAATCCGCTCAGAGATTTAAGTAACGCAGAGTGGGTTCAGTGTCCTGTGAATGTCATCATTTGGGGGACAATTTCACACTTCGTGAACATCAGGGGAAAAAAAGTGCTTTAGTTTATTTGATACAATAAAAAAGAGTGTGTCAAAAAACGCCTGCCACTACTGTGAACCATCCATACAAGGCAGAATGGACCAATGGACTATGCTGTTTACAACAAATTCTTATCCTGTAATCTGAATGTCGCAACAGAAACTGAGTCTCATCAGATGAACTTTTTTCCAATTACTGAGATTACAGCAGTGACACCTGGTACAGTCTTCTGCTGCTCTAGCCCATCTGCCTTAAGTTCAGTGTGTTGTACTGACGTGTAATGAGTGGTTATTTGAGTCA